ATTGGAAGCTCTGGGTTCAGAAATTAGATTTATACAGGGTGTTACGAAAGGTTTGTTACAAACTTCTAGGGATGGTAGATCTCGTAAAAATTAAGTTTTTTTTTTGATAAACATATGTCCGGAAATGCTTCGCTTTCCAAATACAGGGTGTTAAACTTTGTAAAAAAGGCCAATTTTTTTATTAATTCTTAGAAATGCGTTGGACGAATTGAATGAAATTTTTGTAATAGTTTGTTGACATCTTTATGAGGTACCATCGTCACCAAAAGTATCTGGGACACAAATAATGCATAATAGTCTCCTGGACTAATTCTACTGTCATTCATTTCAATGCATTTAATTCATAGTTTGACAAATATTTGACAATAAAATTTATATAATAGGACAAGAGCTAATGTGATGCTGTCCCATTTACTTTTGGTGACGATGGTACCTATCTTTTGGACTCAGAGTTGATCCAGTAATTCCAGGGACTTGAAACAGGTTCTGTCGGATGTTTTTTTGCACGAAAAACATCGTTCAGTAGATTTATTTTTAATTAAGATATGTTTTTTAAATAGAACACTTAAAGATACATCTTTTTTGTCTCCTCATTTTTTTTCCGTATGCTGCTTTTTTTTGGAGATAAAAGTTAAAAACCATTTCAGGCGAACCAGGAACATCACCGACCTTCATAAATAAAAAATAAATTGCCAAGAAGTTACCTGAAATTTTACCAGGCTATTTGTTGCTTAAAAATAAACAACAAAAAACTTTTTTTCTGAAACACACGCGCTTCTCAGAATTGATGTAAAAATTGATTTTTTTAACAAAGTTTTACACCCTGTATATCTGGAAAACGAAGCATTTCCGGACACATGTTTATTGTGAAAAAAGCTTTATTTTTACGAGATCTACCATCCCTAGAAGTTTGTAACAAACCTTTCGTGACACCCTGTACATATATGAAGGCCAATGGCTATATAACTATTACCATTTGTAGGAGCATAGAATCCCGTATCAATACACAGAATATTATAAATAACAAAACTCATACAAGTAGTGATAATAATGTCAATGCCATTTTACAAAATACCAAATATAAAAATTCATTCAGCAATTGACGACCCGAAATTTTGGAAATTTATTGTTGGTGTGCTACTCTAAGTGTCGCTTTTTCATTTAAATCTGTGACCAAAATGTGCATACTGTTGTCAACAAAATTGGTAATAATTTTACTATTTAGAGTGCGTATTTTGCAACCAAAAATACTTCGACCCATACTCTAATCTATTATTGTTATGAACATAACTTCATTTTACTAAAAAGTGGTCTAAACTTGGAATTAAACAGAAGTTTGTGAAGGTCAGTGAAGGTATGTAAATAACATTTCATTTAAACGCCTCTCTTAACTCATAAAGCACATCAAGGTGTTAATGCTTGTCAAAATTTGACTAGAGATGCAATCTATTGGCCTGGTATTATGGGTGATATTGAAAACTATGTTCTTTCGTGTTATATTTGTCAAAAATTTTCGAAAAATAATCCCAGACAACCAATGACTTCTCATGAAATTCCAGATTAACCTTTCCAAGAAGTAGGCATGGATTTCAAATATTTTGATGGAATCGACTTTCTTGTAGTTGTAGACTATTTCAGTTAATTCTTGATAGTAAACAAGCTTCAAAATAAAACGGCAAATTCTGTAGTATCTACAATGAAAAATATATTTGTTTCTCATCGATTACCTTTAGATATTTTCTCTGATAACAGTCAACCTTTCACATCATTTCAATTCAAAGAATTCGCGTCATTTTTTAAAATTGAATTAACTACCTCAAGCCCATATTACCCAAGGTCCAATGGAATGGTTAAGCGGCATAATCACATAGTCCAGAACCTCTTCACAAAAGTTGTGGAAGAAAATAATGGCGATCCTCTGTGCTTTATTATAATAATACACCAAAATCTAATTTACCTTCTCCGTCTGAACTGTTACTTGGAAGAAAAACTCGCACCCTCATACCTCAGCATAAAGCCAACTTAAATTCGAACGGGTATTGCTCAGAAGAAATATGTCGAACGCTAGAAAATAAACAAGAAATGCAGGAAACCTATTATAATAGAAGCACAATAAATTTATCTCAACTTGTTATTGGTCAACCTGGTATTGTTCAAAAATGAAAATCAAGAATGGAATGATGGACCGATTATAAGCTCAGAAAAAAACAATGATTATGTAGTTAATGATATGGAAGTAACACCTTCAGAAGAAATAGATAATAAATAGAACCTCTGCGGAAAAATCATACTGCCCAAATGCAAATCCAATATAAATCTTATCCATATATAGAAGAGCCAAGTCGGTCCAATTCAGGAGAAGGAGTAGAAAGTGATGTTTCGCAATGTGTAAACAACGTTCCAAGTTGTTCAACTTTTGAAGCACCACTCAGGAGAAGTACCAGAAGAATAAACCCTCCAGATAAGTTTATTCCATAAAAAAAAGGCGTGTTATATATATAGATGTTTGATATATTTGTTGTACCAGCAACTGGTATGACATAATAAGTTATTGTCAATTTGAATGTAAAATAGAATATGAAGTCTGTTTTTTTTTAAGATAAAAGTCAAAATGACATTATGTTGGCAATACAATGTAAAATTGTCAATGCTTTCAAATTTTTTTATGTAGAAAAGGCTTGTGTTGCCAACATAGTTACTAAATTTTTGACTTGGGGAATTATCTTTAAAAAAAAAACAGACTTTAAAAATATTGGTGCTGTGAAATATTGTTCTGTAAAACCTAATACATAGTTTCTATTAAAATCTGTTTTTTTTAAAGATAATTTCCCAAGTCAAAAATTTAGTAACTATGTTGGCATCACAAGCCTTTTCTACATAAAAAAAATTGAAAACATCGACAATTTCACATTGTTGTATTGCCAACATAATGTCATTTTGACTTTTATCTTTAAAAAAAAAAACATACTTTAGATATTATGACAATTTCAACACTCAGTTTCGATAAAAATCGCCAGATTGGAGATGTCGCTATCCTCGTGTCCGGAAGAGTTATTCACGGGGCCTTTTGACTCAACAATAGATACAGCTTCTGAACAGGCCATGAATGTACAGTGGGAATCATTGCAATTGGCACACACTCTCTAAAATACCTCGTATTAAGTCAAAATTCTAACCAATAAATCTATTTAGTGCAGCATTTTCCTATTACTGTGTGTCAGATTTGACACATTACGAGGGATATTTATATAGTGTGTGCCAATTGCAATGATTTCCACTGTACCATCGTCACCAAAAGTAACTGGGACAGCATCACATTAGCTCTTGCCTTTTACATGAATTTAAATGTCAAATATTTGTCAAACTATGAATCAAATGCATTGAAATGAATGACAGTAGAATTAGTCCAGGAGATTATTATGCATTATTTGTGTCCCAGATACTTTTGGTGACGATGGTACATTAACAAGTTCATAAGCAATTGAAGATATATAAATATTTTTGAAGGATATAGCTGCGGCGCTGAAGAAAGAACACATTTATTTGCTACCTACCTTCTGTATGAAAATTTCTGACGACTTGGCAACAGAGAAAATCCCAGTCATCAGAGCAGTTCGTAGGGCGATCCTATATTCCCAATCTTTTTTACTTTGACCATGGAGGACGTTGTTTAGATGATACTGTAGAAAAATATGCATTTTACCTGTGGCAACATAATATGGTCATGACTAAGAAGTATATCAACAACCCCCAGGATAATGCAAATGGCTATGCTTGACATGAGTCTACCAGATAGAGAAGAAATAAGAAAAAGAACGACGGTGGTGAGTGGTGGACATAATACACCTAAAAGGTGTTTTTTTTTAAAGATAAAAGTCAAAATGACATTATGTTGGCAATACAATGTAAAATTGTCAATGCTTTCAAACTTTTTATGTAGAAATGGCTTGTGTTGCCAACATAGTTACTAAATTTTTGACTTGGGGAATTATCTTTAAAAAAAAACAGACTTTAAGGTGCCAATTGGCAGGACTATTAGCAGATGGGTATCCAGGCTTGTATATCCACAGGGGACATGGTTGGATGACATAAAGATAATAGCAGCAGGAAGGTGGTACCACCCAGCGAAAGACAGAGCAGCTATGAAATGGATGGAAAGGGCCTTTGTTCAGGAACAATGATGGCTGACAGAGAAGTCGAACGTGAGAACACTATAGGGACTCATTACGTAACTTAAATAAGTGACGTAACAACCTGTAAGTTACAAAACATTAAAAAAAAACTTGGAACAAAATCAAAATGTACCTAAGAATTAGCAATAAATTCCCTTTATATATTATTAAGTACGGCCCACATTTCAGCTTTTACATCCTCATAATTTGTACAAATAGCTGAAAGTAGATCAATTGTGCTAGTGCAATTTAAAAATTATTGTGTTGCTTCTCTCTCTTCTTATGCCTCTACAGCATTGATGTTTGTTTTCCGCAACTCACAGAAATTTTCACGATAAGATGTATTTGACGTGTTTTAGCTCTTCAACTCGTATCTCATGGTGCAAAATAGATTTGTATACATGTTGTTTATGATAGTCTTTCACCTAATAAGTCTTTACACACATGATCACGGATCAGACTTTTACTTTTAGCAGAATAAACTAAGTCGGTGGACAATGCAATCCGCATTGTTGCGCCATTTCAGATCGGCGTGTCTGCACGCTTCTCGGAATTCGAAAAGGAAGAAAAACTGGTCTATTCGGCCATTATTGCGCGAAGGAATAGACACCAGTGACTTGCGAAAGTGCTTGTCAATTTGACCATAGAAGCGATAAAGCTTGGATTTAAGTGTGCTTGATTACCGAGAAGATTCGAGTTATTTTTCATGAAACTTTAGACGCCACTCATAATGTATTTACGTGAAATGGTACTGAGACTAATTAAGGTTATACTTTGTAGTTTAAATGTTAATTAAGCTATATTGCGATTAATGTACAAATTACTCACGTAATCTTAGTTTGGCATATATGATCTCCAAGAAGTTTTCCATCGAGTTGCGGTAAAAGTAATAGCGGCACAAGGAACCACACAAGAACTTTTATCTGAAATAAATAAAAATAATAATTTAAACATCAGCATGTATAAATAAATTATCTTTGAATCAAGCATAAAACGAAATTTTAAAATAATAGTAATATACTTCTTTGGTTGTATTCAAACACATGGCGATTGCTTAGTGTCTCGAAACAATTAACGCATTAATTAGCAAATATAGGGCAACAAAGTTTCATGTTATAGACGATAATTGGTGGTCATAATAACCAAAGCTACATCTGCTGTCATTTGTAATTTGTTTTTTAGTAATTTACGGAAATTTACATTATACCTAATTGCATTTTTTTAGCATATGTGCCGGTGACTAAACTTACACAATATATAAGTAAGGCAAGGTGCCAAAATTATGGATTTAGTATTGAATGGTAGCTGAAACTCATAGGCTTTAATATCAGTTATCACTCCAAGTTAATCCACTCAGATCTGAAAGAGGCTTATACGCTGAATCCACCAACTCCGACTCCAATCTCCAATATAGGATACCTAGCAGTTCATTCCAGCTTTGAATTTATTCTTTTTGAATTAATTACACTACTGCTTCGGTTGTGGATTAATTTGGATTTTGAGCCATTGATAGCTTAACTAACCATAGTTATGCAGATTTTATAAAGTTTTCGTTTCAGGAAAACCCATCTTCTTACCTTCTTAACTCTGTTCAGTTCTAAACTACAAAATCTCTTTATACAACCATCCATTATAAGACACAACCAAAAAAACTACAATAATTCAGTCTTTTACATTTTACTCGCCACAATATAATTCCTGCTGGATTAAATGAACAAACCACCTAATTGTTAAACCGTTGCCGTCATTCTAGTTTGCAGGAGACATTATTACAAGACCGCAACTAATAAAATTAATAAACGTTCCGTTCCCGGTTCAGCTGTGCGTGAGACACTGCCTCCGGTCTAGGCAAATCGGCCGTAATCCAGATAGAGCTGTCATGTGTTTGTTCAATTATTAGCTGAGTGGTCGGCGTGGAAACATTTTGTGAAAGTGTTAATGTGTTAATTTTAATTTGTTCTTGCAAGTGGGTACCAACCCATTAGTCCCTGGGCCATGGATAACAAAATGAAAACTCATTACCTTTTCCGAATCACTTTATTTTATTCAATACAATAACAGATAGATTTACTAAAACACTGCTGACATCAACCTTGCAAAAAGATACTAAGGAACTCTACAAAGAAAAAAGAAAAGTGGATGAACCACGAGATATTGGATATGATGGAACAACCTAAGAATAAAAATAATCACAAATATGAAAAAAAACACCATAGTAATCCTAGACGGAAAAGGAAACACTAACGTAGACAGAGGAAAAAGCACAACGATGGAAATAATACATTGACGAACTTTTTAATGATGTTAGAGGGAATCTCGACCCAAAAGAAACGTGGCCAGACATCAAGAGGGGAGAAGCAACACAACCAACAAGTGCGTAATCGACTTTTGGATTTCCCGAGAGTAGATCAAGGTACTTTTGGTCCTTTGCCAAGACCATAGGAAAAAAAATTATATCTTCAGTTAAGGACAATAATTCTATTGTAGTATCATCGAAGAAAAAAGCAGATCTCTTTGTTAAACCATTTGCATCCAATTCTACGATGGAGGACAATGGCAGAGCGCCACAGCTACCTACTGCCACACATTGGTTCCCTTAATGAACAACGTTGTATTTAGACCTAAAACTGTAAGTAAAATTCTTCTGCAACTTTGACACTGGAAACACCTTCATGCACAAAGTGCCAAAAAGCCATTGAAGGGGATGATAAACAAGTGTTCTGTGACTGTTGCAGGGATGTTTTTCACTCAACAGAGGCATGCTCAGGCCTCTGCACATCTGAAATAAGGGCTGTTGTGCTCCAAAAAAGATCCCTCATGTTTCTCTGCCCAGATTGTCGGGACGCATTTAAATCTGCACCAATGGTTATCCGTAGAGTGAAGGAACTTCAAGAAGAGGTTATTGACCTCAGAAAGGAGATTGAGCAACTCAAGGCTTCTCCAACCACCAATTTTGAGGAAGTGCTACAGGAAGCAAGTGAGCGCTCTATACGCTCTAAAAATCTTATGGTGTTTGATATACCCGAGTCGCCTGATGAAAGCCTACAAGACAAGATTAAATATGACACCGATATAGCTCACAAAATATTTGCCAAATTGGGTTTTCAGCAGGAAGTTGACTGCATCATGAAAGTCATTAGAGTAGGGCTTCCGGGTGATGGGAAAAAACGACCCATGAAAATCATCTGCAATAATTCCAATATTGTCTTAAGAGCTTTGAAGTTGAAACAAAAGCTTAGATCAAGAATCAAGTCAGATAGCTATAATATAGCATATGACTCAACTAAAATGCAACAAGAAGCTTACAAAAAAGCAAAAGTAGACCTTTCTCGCAGAATTCGTGACGGTGAAGATCTTGCTATTAGATACAAGAGAGGAATACCAGTATAAGTACCAAAAAACAAAAAAGATGCTCAGGAAAACTAAATTCAACCCCATTAGTAGTATATTACCAAAATGCTAGCGGACTTCGTACAAAATTAAATAGTTTAAAACTGGCTGTGAACACTTCTTCTTATGACATAATTATATTGGTGGAGAGTAATTTAAACAGTGATATACTGGATAGCGAGTTATGTTGTCATGAATATAATTTATTTCGGAGTGATAGATCAACGTTAACTAGTCAGAAGTCCGGTGGTGGAGGTATTCTTATTTATATTAAAAAATCTATTAAATCCAGTAAAGTGAAAACAAATATGCTTATAGTCCGGGGGCCGAGGACCTTTTTTCCAAATCATTAATAACAAGCTAGTTTTTTCAATGCAGCTTCATTTCACCGAGACGCCCAACTTTTTTCTCTTCGAAAATTGCGAAAACAGGTAGCTAACATACTGCGCAGGTGTAAAACATGTCGATTTGGGACTATAAAAATTTAATTAATAACAGTTAGTTTTTCAGCTAAATGTTGAGATAATTTTATGAATAATTTGAAACAACATTTGTCCGACAAAATAAAGGGTTTGGTCTACGATGTCCCCCCCCTCAAACATGTAGCAATTACGTTGCATAAAAAATGATTAATAACAAGTTGATTTTTTCAATGTAGGTTGGTAAATATTATTACAATTAAATGGTCACACTGTCCTACAAATAAACAGGTAGCTATTTTCAGTCCTACACTCAAAAGTTGTCGATTTCACGATTTTACTTTTTTCATTAATAACCGGCTAAATCTTCGTGAGTATCTTCATTTTGATAAGGCGCCCAAATTTTCTGTTGCGAAAATTCCAAAAACAGGTAGCTAACAGAGTGCGCAGGTGGAAAACATGTCTATTTGGTGATCATGAAAATGTAAATAATAACAGTTAATTTTGTAGCTGAATGTTGAGATAGTTTCATAAATAATATGAAACAACATTTGTCCGACAAAATAAATGGTTTGATCTAGGCTGTCTCCCTTCTCAAACATGTAGCAGATACGTTACATAAAAAATGATTTATAACCAGTTGATTTTTTTAATGTAGCTTAGTAAATATTTCTACAATTAAATGGTTACACTGTCCTACAAATAAAGAGGTACATTTCTCCAGTCCTACACTCAAAAGTTGTCGACTTCACGATAATACTTTACTCATCAATCACCGGACACCGGCTTAATCTTCTCGAGCATCTTCGTATTGATAATACGCCTAACTTTTCTATTGCGAAAAGTTGCAAAAGTAGTAGCTACTAGAGTGAGCACTAGTGAGCACATGTAAAATACCTTGATTAGGTGATTATGCAAATGTAATTATTAACAGTTAACAGTTAATTTTTCAGGTGAATAATGAGATAATTTTATAAATAATTCGAAATTCGATTTGAGCCACAAAATAAATGGTTTGGTCTGCAGTGTCCCCTTTCTCAAAAATGTAGCAATTACTGGCTCATAAAAAACGATTTATAACCAGTTGATTTTTACTGTAGTTTGGTAAATATAACTACAATTGAATGGTCACATTGTCCTAAAGAGGTAAGATTTCTCAGCCCTACATTCGAGAATTTCGAAAATAGCCTTATGCATATTATACGTAAATATGTACAGGGCTTTCATTTCAAAACTTACAACCCACGTTATCTGCGTAAAGAGACAGATTTCTGGAAAAAAAGATTAAATTCAAGAATTTTACCTTTTGTATTTTGAAAAATATAATTATTAAAATATTCGATTTTTGATATTATTTGAAATGAACATACCTATCTCTTTTATTTTTGAGCTGTCGAGAAAATATTATTTGGAAAACTCCTGTATTTTTTTAAGTTCCACGTTATTTAAAAATAAAAACTCTAACTTAGAAAACTCCCTGTATTCACTCTATATACAGCAAAAAAGCGCGCCAGATTTAATACATTAAAAAAGGAGCTCTTTTTTTTTAAATATCTTTAGAATTAAGATGAACCGATTGGATCAAACCTTCTCCATCTGGGTATGGAAAATGACAAAGGGCATGGCCCCCTCTACTTTGATGGCATGCCAAAACTCTTTTTCGAGCAATTCAAATCTGGCGCGCTTTTTGAATCACCCTATACTACGATACCGTGTTATTTACGAGCATGCGCGTCGATGCGAATGGAAACCATCGACATAAATGTAGGTATGTTACATACACATAACACATATACTGTTATACACGCATCTGTATACGTACATGTACATACAGGGGCTTTCATTTCGAAATTTGCCACCCACGTTATCTGCCTAAAGAGACAGATTTCTGGAAATTGCCGGAACAAATTAACGTAGGTACCCCCTCAATAAATTTGTTGACGTGTTTCGGCGATTTCTAGGAATCTGTCTCTTTACGCAGATAACGTGAGTGGCAAGTTTTGAAATGAAAGCCCTGTACATATTTACGTATAATATGCATAAGGCTATTTTCGAAATTCTCGAATGTAGGGCTGAGAAATCTTACTTCTGTGTAATTGTAGTTATATTAATCAAACTACAGTAAAAAAATCAACTGCTTATAAATCGTTTTTTATGAGCCAGTAATTGCTACATTTTTGAGAAAGGGGACACTGAGACCAAACCATTTATTTTATGGCTCAAATCGAATTTCGAATTATTTATAAAATTATCTCATTATTCACCTAAAAAATTAACTGTTAACTGTCAATAATTACATTTGCATAATCACCTAATCAAGGTATTTTACATGTGCTCACTAATGCTCACTCTAGTAGCTACTACTTTTGTAACTTTTCGCAATAGGAAAGTTAGGCGTATTATCAATACGAAGATGCTCGAGAAGATTTAGCCGGTGATTGATGAATAAAGTATTACCGTGACGTGAAGTCGACAACTTTTGAGTGTAGGACTGGAGAAATGTACCTCTTTATTTGTAGGACAGTGTAACCATTTAATTGTAGTAATATTTACTAAGCTACATTAAAAAAATCAACTGGTTATAAATCATTTTTTATGTAACGTATCTGCTACATGTTTGAGAAGGGAGACTAGCCTAGATCAAACCATTTATTTTGTCGGACAAATGTTGTTTCATATTATTTATGAAACTATCTCAACATTCAGCTACAAAATTAACTGTTATTATTTACATTTGTATGATCACCAAATAGACATGTTTTCCACCTGCGCACTTAGCTACCTGTTTTTGGAATTTTCGCAACAGAAAATTTGGGCGTCTTATCAAAATGAAGATACTCACGAAGATTTAGCCGGTTATTAATGAAAAAAGTTAAATCGTGAAATCGACAACTTTTGAGTGTAGGACTGAAAATAGCTACCTGTTTATTTGTAGGACAGTTTGACCATTTAATTGTAATAATATTTACCAACCTACAAAAAAAACACGAATGATAGTCTAGTTTTCCAAGACTTTTATTATGATTTCAAGAA